CCAACAAAGAATGACGAAGGGGGCAGCATCATCAATATGCAAAGCTTCAGTTAGAGTGGAAAAGGGACAGTGGATGCCAGAGAGAAAAAGGTTAGGAGCTGTCCACTAAACACTGATTCAAAATTCCTTATTTTGTATAGGAAATTTACAAATTTTTTTCATTTAACAGAAATTAGAAATTGTAACTAACTAAACCCTATTTTCGAAAAAATGAAAGAGAATGAACGCACAAATGCGTATTAAGGATACATTTCCAGATGCATTTTATATTTATAAATAAAATGAAGACTTTCAATTCTTTTCAATTTTAAAAGCACATAAATAAGTGCTGTTTTACCAACTTTATAAAAATAAGAAATAAAGAATACGCATATTCTCTCTAGCATTCTACCTGTTTGTCTGCAAAAAAAAATAGTTAGTTTACGAGCAAAATTTAGCCGACTTGGCCACTGTGGCTGTCATTCAATGCGTCCTTGCTGCTCTGCTCACGTTTCATGCTGTCCAATTATGCCGCACACATGCAAATGCAACGTGCAGCGGCGGGAATCTGCCGGCACCCTTCCCCCCCAGCCCCGCACCTAGCCACCCAATCACTCGACGCGCTTGCTCGGCCCGCGAGGCTTTTGGCCAGAAGCGGCAAAGTGACACGAACCAGGCCCAAACGACCAGCGAACAAACGACACATGGGTGGCATAACGACTTGGTGGGTGGAGGGTGGTCCAACTGGACAGTCCTTGGGCAGGAGTTTCAGGGATCGAGGCTCAACTCTGTTTCAATTTGCACCCCCGCAGACGCGGCAATCGCTCAGCCGACCCACTGCACCGGCATCACCACCACCCATGCAACCCAACCCACCCATGCACCACCACCCACTTTTCGCGAAGCGCAGAAATTCGGAGAATGGGACAGAGGACGTGTTGTTGCTGACTCTTTCAGGCCGCACCATCTGCATATGGTTGTTGTTTCGCTTTTTGGCCATGGCTAGTCTGATTCGTAGTTGTTGTTGTCCATGTTGCCGCTATCCGCTATGTGCGTTTGTTGAAACAATCGATTTATTTTCGGTTTCGTTTCTGATTGGCAATATTTCATAGCAATGTCGTTCCGTTTTTGTTCGCGGGTTCCCCTGTTTGTGTGTGCCTCTAATATTTGTATTTTTTAAATAATAACGAACAGTGTGAGATGGAATAGGAATGTGTAGATTGGTAAAACTGGCGAATACAGAAAAATATTCAGGTGGGACAAATATATTGTACTCTAATTTGTTTATTTAGGTGAGTCTAGACTCAAAGTTATCAAATTGTGAGCGACACCAAAACTTAAGAATTCCAGTTCAACGCTAAATTTGTACTATTTTAATATCGAGCATCTGTTCTTAAGGTATATTTAATACACTTGCAGTCTTATCGAAAACTGATGAAAGCTGTCACTGCCCGCATATACATACATTTGACAATAAGGTTATAGTAAACTTAAGAGAAAATTGAATAAAAGCACATAATTCTTCGAAAATAACAACATTTTTACGATGGTTCATATGCCAGCTTGGGATATAGTTATCGCCGTGGCATCAGAAAGGGCTAATGAATGATGTAATGCAGGCAGACAGCATTAAACGTATACATTTGGTATACTTTTATTGAAATTCTGTAAATACAAATCTTTTTCATAAACACTTGTAAAAAGTCAATTTTCGGTGTTTAAATAATATTAAAATGTAGTCAAAACGGTCATACGCATATTTGCGTGGTCATATATGGATGCAATACTCGCCAAAGTACATCAACTAGGATTTATATTTCCTAAGATCTCTTCATTTACACAGATAAAGGGGCACGACTAGAAAGAACATATTTATATGGTCGAAAACGATTACAGTTAGCTGTACTATACTTTTGCACTATTACAACATACAATTAAAAGATACACAAACTGGTTGATATATATATAGAAAAAGTGATAAAATTAATTATATTAATTTAATTAATGAATAATACTTTAAATTGATTAAAGTTTTATGAGCGAGAGTATTTCAAAAATCTTCGAAATATAATTTTCATACGATTTTATTTGACAGTCATCCCCATCGCATTTATAGTCTGTCAATAATTGTGTGCCCAATTCCAATTTCAGCCTATAAATATGTAAAGGATTTACGCAATTACCACAGACACAGCTAAACCACATGCAAGCACGGAGTGACATTTATTTATGACATTAATGCATAAAATAATATAAAAATAAATTGGATGCGAAAAACCCGCCCAAAATAATTCCAGGCGATACTGAAATTTCGCAGTTGCCCTCATGACCAGTAGAAGGGGCTTATTAAGGGTAGGGAAAGGATGGGGCCAGACGCCATCAAATGTTGTCATTAAATTCAGTTGAAAAACAAACAGAAATTGCAGTTTATATTTTATTCATGCAACCGAAAAAATTGGCAGGAAAATGGTTTGTTATTCGCATTGTAGGCTTTGACAGCAAACAGAGTTCTAGCGGGTATACATATGTATGTTCGTATACCGAAAGCTCGCTACCCCTAGATATGTACATCAGGGCGGTGCAAATTTATATAAACATTTGAAGGATCTACCCTCATTCGATTTTCCTATACGCTTTGCTGCATTTAAGGCATATAAGAAATAAATAACTTTAAAAAATTAATTATATGGACTGCGTATCGGATTCCAAATTTATCACTCATATGCACAGTTGCCTTCGATCAAAAAATATATTCTATTTTAAATTACGTGCCGTATAAGTCATTTAAATTTTTTTTAAAGAGTTTTGCAGTTGTTATAAACATTTAGGGCACAACACTATTCGGTTTTTGGACCACCCTACTATGCATATATAGATTCAATTGCATTTGCATTGAATACCTTTCACCGATTTCTGTGTTGTGCTTTTGCACTTGGAACCCCTTTTTATTCTCTTCGACAGCGTTCCTTCAAAAATTACAATTACAAACATTGCATCGTTTTGGCACCTGCATTTGAAAATCCTACAAAAGCTCGTCGAATTTAATCATTTTTTTCGGTGTCTGAGAAAAAGTAGGGATTTAGGAAATATGGTATGTAAGTCGAAACGAGCTTTATCGTATCGAAAGAATTGGGAAAGTAAATGAAAAAAAAAATTTTTTAACAATATGGGAATACTCCGAAAAATAGTAGACTTAAACAATTTTTAATGATATAAAAAGAGGACGACTATATCATAAAGATGCCATAAAAACGAAAAAATTTATTGGATGCCTAGAATTATTTTAGGCTATCACCACTACACAGCCGTATAAAGCTAAATTCCAAATCGCGGGGAAAATATAGCTGACAGACAGCCACAATCGCTTACCTACCGTATTAAAATCAAAATAAAGGACAGTAGTCGTAAATCGAGTTATGGGCTTAGCCTGAAGTGGACACAATTATCGCATCAGGAAATCGATAGGTAACCTAATAAGAATATCGAGGATCCTGATATACTTTTTGCGACTTAAGGCAGGCTTGCACCTTGTTGGCGCCCAAAACCTGATTTTTTTCTGGAATTTATTTCTTGGAAAGTATGGTAGGTGTGGGAATAAAATTTTAGCCAGTTGTAGGGTACAGTTTATTGAAGCTACACAATTTTTTTGAGTGCGATCCAAGCGAAGGGGGGAGGAGGAGTACCGAACAATGGCGGCATGTCCGCGAAAAACTCGTCCTCATGGCGGATTTTTTGGAATTTTAAGAAATAATCTGAAACGCAAAAAACGAATATATTCTTAATCTGTACACTTGCTCGTATGGTTTGAACTAGGATAATTGAAAAAACATAAAAAATGCAAAAATTATGAGCTTTTGAAAAAAAAATCGGTTTTTTCCTCATTTTTTCGTTACTCATTATTTTTTTAAATAAACAATTTTTAATATTTTCAAAAGATCCTAGTCTATACCATGCACATACTTCTGAGGAACATGTATAAAAAATTTCATGACGATTGCTCAATTTTTGCGGCTTGTACGACTTCCGCCAACTCGGAAAACATGGTTTCGAGAAAAACGCGTTTGAAAATTTTCACTATAATGGCAACGCACTTGACACCGGTTCACCAAACGGCCGATAACTTTCGTAATTCAAGAGATTTCGACTTGAAATTTTAGGAGAGTAAAATTAAAACATGTATGTATCCAAAACTGAAAAAAAAAAAAAATTTGATTTTTTTGACTTCACAAGGTGCAAGCCTGCCTTAACTGAATTAGTAAACATATTTTCCAAAATATAAAAATATAATTTAAAAAGAAATTAACTTTGCTTTCAAAAAAACAATTTAAAAAAAAACGCTTCAAAAATAATATGAACATTTGTTAAAAATTTAGCTATCAATCCTACGGGTTGTTTTGTACTCGACCACGTTGCTGTCAAATAATTTTTGCTTTGTACACTGCAGACAAAACTCGCCAACCAAATGTAACAAAAACCCAAACGAAAAATTGGGATGGATTTTATTTTGCAATTAATCTCTAAAATAGACAATACCAAACAAGGCTTCCCCATGTCACCACTAAATTGCCAGCCGACTGGTTTATTAATATTAATTGAAAATAAATGCAACCGGGACGGTCAAAAAACAGATGCCTCTGAGGTGAAAAGTGGGCGGTAAAGTACGCGGACAAAAATTTTGTAAAATGCAAATAATTAAATGGCGTCCAATAAAATATGCAAATGAGTTACGCTGCACTTAGCTGGGCAATATAAAATGTTGGCCTGAAATAACAAAATTGGCTTTGGAACTGGTCTGGTGCAGGTGCATGTTGTAAGCACACCAACAAAAATAGTTTTACTACACGATTGAGGGTCTCAATAATTTGGATGCTGGAACTCTCCCGACATATAAAATTAAAATTTTTTATACTTCAATTAACATATTTTATACAAACATCCTCATAAATATTCCTAATTGTCAATGAATATATCTTATACTATTTTATTTGTTTGCCTTCTTATATTTTAAATTTTTCTTTAAGGCTCTCGACCACGATTGTGAAGTTCAGGGTCAGGACATCCCGCAGGCTATTCAGCTGCTTGGGGAAATGAACAGCAACGTGAAGCAGGTGACTGATTTGGTAGAGGGCATGCTGCAGCGGGTTAAGCGCGGCGAGCTGACCACGGAATACGGCCTGAGCTTCCTTGAGGTGAAGTACCACATGCTGCTTGACTATTTGATCAACCTGACCTACGTGGTTCTACGCAAATGTTCCGGCGAAACCATTGAGGGTGATCCCTCTATCGAACGCCTGATCGAGATTCGCACTGTGCTGGAGAAGATTCGGCCCATTGACCACAAGTTGCGCTACCAGATCGACAAGCTTGTGAAGACAGCCACTACTGGCGTGTCGAGTAGTACAGATCCGATTCTTTACAAGCCCAATCCAGATGATATGATGAGCAGTGCAGCCGGGGCAGGTCACAACGAAGATGGTGCGCCGGATGACAGCGAAGAGGACGACGAGGATGACGATGATGAGGAGGATGAAGATGAGGCCGGAGCAGCGAAAATGCCCCGCAAGGCGGCCACAGCTGGAAAGTCCGGAGTGTATGTGCCGCCGCGCATCAAGCCAGTTTACTACGATGGTGACGAACGCGATGCTGACAAGGAGAAAAAGGCCATGGACCGGGCCAAGAAGCGGGCGATCACGTAATGGACAACTTTTCCCATCTTAGTTTCCATTTTTATGCAGATGATTTGCCTTTTTTCCAGGTCTTCCATGCTGCAGGACCTCAAAGAGGAGTACTTGGACGCCCCCACTGAGATTTCGTCTGGCTCGCGGGCTCAGCAGCTGTTATCCCATGCACAGAAGGAAAAACAGGAGTACGAGGAGACCTATTTGATGCGTCTGCCTGTGACTAAGGCTGAAAAGCATCGTCAGCGCAAACTGACCACGTTGGGTACGCTCTTGTATTTATGCTTTTCTTATGTATAATTTCTAACCGATTGATTTACCAATCCGCAGGCACACTTGGCGATGAAATTCTTGGGGAGATTAGTCGAGAATCGGCGCTGCGTGGAGATGGAAGCAAAAAGCGCAAGTTGGCCAAAAAGGGAAAGGGGAAAAAACGCGGCGGTAAAAAGCGAAAGTTCCATTAATTGGGAGGATATAAACCTCTTAAATAGTGTCAACAACTTTTAGTTTAAATAACAGCTGTAAAACCTTCAAAAAAGTTATAAAAGTCTTATTTTTAATCGATTCGATGAGTTTTTTAATATTTTTCATCTTAGTAGACTAAATGTTTTTCATTTATTTTAATATGAGAACACTTATTTCTTTGTGTAATGTTAAGTTTTTCCAATTATTGTTTAACGGAATTTTCATTAAAACTTTTTTATATTTAAATATTACAATACAATCGTGTTTTTAATTATTTCAAGAACCAACAACATATTTCATTTGTTTTTCAGCTAACACATTTGAAAATGCTTATCCAGCAAGTCGCTTAAATGCGTTCAAATAATTAAAATTCAAAATAACACGCATTGTAACCTGCATGCAAAATTATAAATTTAAGTTTATTCAGAGACCTACAAAAATTCAAAACTTTAAAAAAAGTTTACAAAATGAAAACAAATTTAGGAACATAATAGCTGTGGAAAATTTTCGCTATTACAAAGTAAATGTTAATTTTGAAACTAAAAACTTGAGGTACAGCTAAATTAGTTATAACGAATACAACCATATTTTGTTGTTTTTAGGAGTCACAGCAAAAATTGTAAACCTTTGGGCAAACGTAAACTATTGGAGACTTTATGATTTGGGAACTCTTGTTTTGAAATAAAAATTAATTCAAAATCCAATGCAGCTTTAAACATACTGTAAAAATGCAAACCCAAAACTAGAAACAAAAAAACCAAAACTTCAGTGAAAAAAGCAGATGCCTTAACAAGAGACCGGTTTATACAGTAAGAAATGAACGAAACTTGAAAAATATGTTAATAAAATCTTTTGAGTTAACGTATAGAAAAGGAAAGATCGGAAGAAAGACTACATACAACTATGATAACGTAAGCCCCACCCAAAAAGCAAAAAAAAAACTAAAAATTTAAAAGAGAATATTTGATAAACTTTTAAACCAGTAAGCGAAAGAATACTTATTTTAGTTTCAACCAAAAAACTCCTAAAAACAACTGAATTTAGACACAAAATTTTATATATTTCTTAAATATTGATTAAAATAAAATTAAGCAACACATTTTGAATAATCCAAACGGAAGAGATGACACGTCCACTTAAGAAGTTTTTAAACGTATGCGAAAAACCAAAACAAAACAAGTTATGTGTAAAACTTATTAAAACGCGCGGAGAAAGAATGAGAGGGTTCGTGGGAAAACTATATAAACCAACATAAAATTAATACTAATAATTGTAAATGATAAACACAAAAAGAAAAAATAGAACTAAGTTAAATAAGACAGCAAGAAAACAAACAACATTTTGGCTTCTACAACCAACTTTGTCTAAGGATGTCAAATTTCTTCAAAATTTTCTTGTAACAACTTTTTGGCTATAAATTTAAAAGACAAGCAACGATAGGCAGACAACTGAAAAATTACCACATAAATGCAATAGAACTCAAAATTATTTACAGGCAGCAAGCAAACAGATGTTTTTAAGTGTAATTAAATAAATTAATTTAATTAATTTATTTATTTTTAAAGCTGAAAGACTGAATATGTTAAAATGAAAACCAAAACGTAACAAAAACGATGAAGTGAAAACGATATGTACTTTTTCTTGAGTGTGTGTATGAACTTAAATAATTTTAATAGCCGAATTTCTAGCACAAATTTTAAAACGACTAAAAAATTATTTACTTATATTTTAAATTTGTTTTTTGAGTATAAATTTAATTTTTTATTTTTTCAAAGTAAATTTATTATTTCTTTATATGTAAAAGAAAGTGAAAAGCATGGAAACGGATACAAAAGAATATATTGCAAAATGTAAAGACAAAAAAAAACAAAGTGAAAACAACCAAACAAAAGTCGCCTTAGCCAAGCACCACAAAGCAAAAAGATACGATATGAATCGAAAAATTTGTAAAAACAAAATACCATACTTAACTACGAATTATTTGTTGTAATTTAATGTAATGAACAAACTGAAACTCACACAGCAGCAAAAACATCTACAACAAAATAGTGCAAAAGTTGAAAAAAAACCTATAAGTAATTTAATTTTTATAGCCAAAGAAGAAAAGAATCGGAGGAAAACGGAAGCGATCGGACCCGAAAGGTTGAACGGAGAATTTAGTTTTAAGCAACCCTAAAAAGTTCTCAACGAAACAAATTGGTTACTTAGTGATAATACAGAATAATTGTTTTAAATCAACAATACAAAATTCGAGCTTAAATTATTTTCAAAGACAAAACCTTTACTTCGAAATGGTATTGGCTCTTAAAAACGAATTTTTTAACAAATGAAAACATTGTAAAATTTTAAATTGATTTAAAAATACGAGCATGATTATAAGTTCACGATATAAAGTTTAAATGTGTGGAAGTGGTTTGCCATCTTACTTATGCAATATAAATATAAGTTTATTTAATCTACCAATTATTAATAAGCTAACTATTATTATTAACTAACACCCTAAATTAAAAAACGGAAAATCTGAAACTGATAATAAATTGCAAACTAAAATTTAAGTAATAAAGAGAGTTCTATTTTTTCAGCATACGGGTTATTTAATAGAATAAGGACAACTAATATTTCATACAGAATTCTAGTTAGGTCTATATTTTAATCTTAAAAAAATAGCAATCGGCTGTTACAATGATAAACTCATTCGATAGTCGATGATTGTAAAAGTAGCAGATGGTCTCTCTCTCTACTTCAGGACATAAGGGATTGAAAAGAACTTTAAACTTTTACATGTTTGAATAGGCTTGGGTTTCTATGGAAATCGTTTGGCGTTAAATCAGTCAGTACATACTTATTTACAGCTTACTTTGATTAAAATGTTAATAAATAATATTTTATTCATTAGGTTCCCTAGCATATTTTGTTGCTGTATCAGTTCAAGATCCAAAACATCATTTATAGAAAAAGTCAATTCTATGCCATACCGATATCGGAACTAATTAAAACAAATTTTAAGAGGTTTTTATTTTTTGTTTATGAGGGCGAAAGCACAACCGCTCAGAATACTGTGTAAAAATATAACATAGATGGGAGCTAAATGAATAATTCTAAATCTTTCGGCAATCCACTCAGGGCACGAAGGAACGCAAGTGTAAAGCGCTCTCCTGAAAAGTGTTATTTTTAAAGTCAGGGTACTGAATTATGATTACACGATTTTTTCAGTATCAGGGAACAAATACAAACTGTCTGGCAAGACAAATTGCCAGATCGACTCTCCTGGTGATGCTGATCAAGAATAGTTATACTTTTAGGATCGGAAATGTCTCCTTCACTGCGTTGCACACTTTTGACCAAAATTATAATACCCTCTGCAAGGGTATAAAAATGGTTTATTAGTTTAACTTGCCGAAGTTTAAGCCTTTCTTGTTTTTTTATATATTTGAATGATGTCTTTGGTTTCTTTTAGACCTCTTTCCAGGTTCGGGGTTATTACTTTCTTAAACCACCAAAAGGGCATATCTGTTTGTGCTATTAGTTAGCTGCCCTTATTGAGGCGGTTTATCATTGGATTATTTCTAGCCATTTTAATTTGCGTGCTAGGCTTGCGCTTTAATTGGATGTAGGGTAGGGACTCATACCAGTCTGTATAGCCGGAGCTCGCTTGTAGATTTTCATTATTGCCGATATTGGCACTGGTTCTTACAATTGGTGTTGTAATTGTATTTAGCGCATCCGAAGATAGCAGCGAAATCTTTTTTTAGTTGTTGCTGTAGCTGCGGTTGCAGAATTATAGAGGTCACAATGTTTGTTGCTGGTGCGTCGTGAGACGGTGGTGGAGTTATACACTGCAAGCTCCGTGACGTAGGGTGGAGTGGGGGGGCTGGAACAAGACCTTGCTATCTTTTTATACCCTGGCAGAGGGTATTATATTTTCAGTCAAAAGTTTGCAACGCAGTGAAGGAGACATTTCCGACCTTACACAGTACATTTATTCTTGATGATGCTGACACCAGGAGAGTCGATCCAGCCATGTCCGTCTGTTCGTCCGTCCGTCCGTTTCTACGCAAACTAGTCCCTCAGTTTTACAGCTATCTGCTTGAAACAAAAATGTTTTCGTTCTATTACAGTTAGTAAATATGTCGGAAAGAGCCGGATCGGCAGACTATATCATATAGCTCCCATAGGAACAATCAGGAAAAAACAATTTTATGAAGTATAACTTTGTTGTTTTTAAACTTGTTTTGTGTTCTTTGGGATTTGGTATTATTAAAATACTATGGAAATACGGTCTTAATTAAATTAAATTATCTATATCATAACGGTCCCATAGAAAAAAAAAAATGTGTACTGTTTTTCTGTTTATCAAAATTTTTATTGTAATTATTTACTATATCACAATTACGCTTTAACGTTTGTCAAAATCGGACAACAATATCATATAGCTGCCATAGAAACGATGACAAAATGCAGCGCAAAATCGACATAGCTTTTTAGTAATATAGGCAAAGAAATAAAAATGTATTCGTTTTGTAATAACTGCAAGGGTAAATAAACTTCGGCTTGCCGCAGTTTGCTTCCTCTTTGCTTAAGTAGAGCTGGGTTGCTTTTAGAAAAAGCTTCTACGCTCATTCTTTTCTTCGTTGCTCATTGAGATATTAATTCGTGGCTCCCAATAAAATTATATTATATAAGATTAAAATATTATTATAATGCCAATCTAAAGGAAAAACAATGAAATAAAACTATATCTACGTTTTTGCGTAACATAAACCCATATAGTATATGGGACCTGTTTGCGTAGAAACGGACAGGAGGAAGGACGGAAAAAAGATGGGCATGGCCTGGTGAGTTTTGACTGAATTTTAACCCTCTGCAAAAACTTCGTTTTTAGGATATTAATTAATGCCACAAAAATTGGTCGATTACCCCATACTGCACACTAGGTCGAAGACAAATTTACCCATTCTTTCAAAAGGTTGTCAGAGAGGTAATAAATAGTACAGCGTTAGACTGATATTAGTGTATGATATTAGAGCTTCTCGCATTGAATAATAATTTTACCGATACAGCGGTAATTTTACAATATGTGTGGTACTAAGTTAATATAAGCATCGGTAAAAGGTTGGTCTTTCTACCTATTTTATGTAGGTACGATTACTTTAACTGAGTTGTGCTTGATTGTGCCGAAAAATTATAGTACTTAATAAAGTTTCTTTTCGGTAAATTCAACATATCAGCCATTTCAACAAATCCAAGCAACAACTAAGTTGTAGCAAATTAAAAAATTTTAAAAAAATTTCTGTTTATGCTCAAAATGTTTATGTTTTTTTTAGTTTTCATAAGGCTCTTAATAAAGCATCTTTATACCCTTGCGGAAGGTATTATAATTTCAGTCAAAAGTTTGCAACGCAGTGAAGGAGACATTTCCGACCCTATAAAGTATATATATTCTTGATCAGCATCACCAGGAGAGTCGATCTAGCCATGTCCGTCTGTCCGTCCGTCTGTCGGAACGAGCCGGATCGGGCCACTATATCATATAGCTGCCATATAACTGAACGATCGGAAATGCCATAACTTTGGTGTTTTTAAAGTTAGGAAGTTGGGATTTTCTATGGGTTTTATTTTTGGCTAATCAATCCGACCTACCAAATTTCATAAGGATCGGACGACTATATCCTATAGCCGCCATATAACTGATTGATCGGAAATGCCATAGCTTTGGTGTTTGTAAAGTTAGGAAGTTGGGATTTTCTATGGGTTTTATTTTTGGCCAATCAATCCGACCTACCAAATTTCATAAGGATCGGCCGACTATATCTTATAGCTGCCATATAACTGAACGATTGGAAATGATATAACTTTGGTGTTTTTATACCCTTGCAGAGGGTATTATAATTTTGGTCAGAAGTTTGTAACGCAGTGAAGGAGACGTTTCCGACCCTATAAAGTATATATATTCTTGATCAGGATCAATAGGGGAGTCGATATAGCCATGTCCATCTGTCCGTCTGTCCGTCTGTCCGTCTGTTTCAATACCGTTTGCGAGCTCAGTTTAAAAGCTAGCGATCTGAAACTTTCACAGTCGTCCTAAAACAAGTGTACGCAGATCAAGTTTGAAAACCGCCCCGATCGGATGTCTATATCCTATAGCTCCCATAGGAACAATCGGATATAACTTGCAAGAATGGAAGATATTTCGCGCAGTGTAAAAGCTATTGACATAAATCTTTCCAAATCTTATTTTTTTATGCGTACCTTGATCAGAGTAAAAGCGCGTGACGATCGGACGTCTATATCCTATAGCTCCCATAGGAACAAAAGGGTAAAATCGGTTAAAATTTAATGATTTTTAGGATATTTCACGCAGTATACAAGCTATTGACATGAATCTTTCCAAATCCTATTTTTTTATGCATACATTGATCAAGGTGAAAGCGCGTGCCGATCGGACGTCTATATCCTATAGCTCCCATAGGAACAATAGGGTGAAATCGGTCCAAATTTGATGATTATCAGAATATTTCGCGCAGAGTGTAAGCTACTAACATAAATTTTTCCAATTCTATTTATTTACGCATATCTTGATTAGGGTAAAAGCGCCTGCCGCTCGGAAGTCTATATCTTAAAGGAGATAGGAAAAATTGTTAAAGGCTGCGAAAGTATCCCTTTTTTTCTATTTGTATATGACATTTTTGCAGTATAAAAGCAATTGACTTGAAACGATGCAAATCTAGTTTATTTATGTATACCTTATTCCTTTCGCTACTTTTTCACTTTTAGCAATTTCGTCAAAGTCTGCAAGGGTATTAAAACTTCGGCTTGCCGAAGTTAGCTTCCGTCCTCGTTAAAGTTATGAAGTTGGGACTTTTTATGAGTATTAAGAATGCATCATATGAATAATTTTGGAGAATATAATTTATAGAATATTCTGCAAGGGTATATCAACTTCGGCTCCGCCCGAAGTTAGCTTTAGAATTATGAGAAGTAAATCTGGAAGTGCATAAAGACTGGCTCTGGAAAATAGTCTTTACTTTTCTGCGAGACTGGCTTGCTGGTCTTTTTGAACCTTTCCGCAGGAGCTCTATAAAGAATTTGTATGGAATTGGGCATGTGATTGTTGCCTTTCTTCGTACCCCAGTCCCTTAAAGTGTTATCATAACTTTTTTTTGATTTTGTGTATATATATACAAGAATTACTAATTTATTCAATGCACAAACAATAATCAGTTACATATTTACATTGCACAAAGAGTGTGTAGATTGCAGCCTCTCAGCACCATTCCGTGAGTCCAGGAGCCTATTGCTCTGGCTGGACCACCGGTTGACCCAGCTTCTCCGCCTTGAGGCGCTGCTTCTCCTTCAGCAGAGCATAGCACTCCGGCACCTTGTTGTAGAAGTCGCACAGCTTCGTCTGCGAGTTGAAGGCCAGGTACTTGCCGCAGTTGTACAGCCGCGGGTGTCCGTTGACGCACACGAAGTACTTCTTGCAGGTCTGGGGGTGGCGATAGTAGCGCAGCTCCCCCTCCGGACTGACGTCCACCTCGGGGGCAGTTGCGTCGATCGGGTCGGCGGCGGGGCAGTCGAAGCCCAGGAAGGCCTCGGCGTTGCAGCTGGCCACCAGATCGGGCCAGTCGCACTGGTAGGTCTCCTCGTTGAAGGCCAGTCCCTCGGGGCACTTGGTCTGACTGGCCACGCCATGTGCGCAGTTGCGGTACACGCCGCACTTGGCGGCGTCTCCGTTCGGGTAGAAGCCGAACTGGCGCGGACACTCATCCGTCCCGTTGGCCGGCTGCAGGCGGGCCCTCTCCTTGCAGGTGGAGTACGGGGCGTAGGTGCACTCCCCTTGGGCCTTGGTGCGCTGGTGGAACAGCAGACCGTCCGGACACAGTTTCTGGACGGGCACGTCATCCTGGCACTCGGTGTAGGCGTCGCACTGATCCCCCGACGCGAACCTTCCGTTGGGCACGGGGCATTCCGGGGAGCCAAGAGCTGTAATGCAGAAAGCAGGCCATTAGGAGGTGATGTCTCTTGACGTAGAAGAAAGTACATATGTGATTTAAGAAAAGCTGGTTCGGATTTCATTGGTTTGGGTTTAACGTCTTTTATTGTTACGAGCAAAATGTCAACAATCAGTTTGCCAAAATCTTTAACTACAGACTAGAGAACTCGAGCAACTTGTCGCCACATGGCCTGTTCGTGGAGGATCACAACTGGATTGTGACTTAGTTCTTCTTGGCGTGAAGACGCGCGGCCTTGATCTGAGCACCCTTCTCTCGAATGGCGCTGCTGCAGTTGGGCACGTTCTCGATGTCGTCGCACTGCTTCAGCTCCTGGTTGAAGGCCTGGTCCTCCCCGCAGCCAATGCGTCGCGGGCGTCCCTCGATGCAGATGAAGTACACCTGGCAGTTGTCCTGCGAGGGATGGAAGGTGTAGTCCGCCTCCTGCTCGCCGAGCAGCTCGGACTTGGGAGCCAGGGCCGGGCAGCGGAAGCCCAGGAAGGCCTCGGCATCGCAGTCCTCGACCTGGTCGGGCCAGTCGCACTTGTAGGTGGCCGGGTTCCAGGCCAGGCCCTCGGGGCAGTCGAACACGAAGCCACGGCCCGCGTCGCAGTTCATGAACTGGCCGCAGTTGCCGGCATCGCCCTTGCGGAAGTACCCAAACTGGTGGGGGCAGTCCTCTGTGGGCTGGGCGGCCTGCAGACGGCTCTGGGCCTGGGTGCACTCCACGTCGATGGGGTAGCCGCAGGGGTAGCCCGTGGACTTCTCGTTGTACAGCAGGCCGTCGGGGCACAGCTTCTCCTCGGCCACGCCATTCTTGCACTCAATGTAGGCGTCGCAGGATCCGGACACCGGAGAGGTTCCATTCGCCTCCCGGCAACCTCCTGAAGCGGCGGCGGCTGGAAGAGATAGCGGATGCGGGTTAATATGGATCAACAGGTTGGGGGTGGCGGCTTACCTCTAATGATTTATGATGAGAAACTGCCTCTCTTTTAGCTATTTGTCACATTGTACATACTTTATGATCGAACATACCGCGGGAAACTCAGACTCAACAATGGATTGTCTCGTCTTCCCGCGATTTTACGTACCCATACTCGGGTTTTAACATTTTAATGAGTTGTGAGCACATACCAATGGATATTGTTCAGAAATACATTTTTAAAGAATGGCTGAATGACATAGTCTTTACATTTTCAATAATTATTCGTCTAGTCACCAAGCGCCACGAGTGCAAGCTGATAATATGATAAACTAATCCAAGAAGGAAAATTAGTTTCCATACGGGGCATAAATCGGGTCAGGAAGACTAATTCGTTTAGGCAGTTATGGTAAATACATTTAGGAAGTATAGATCATAAAGATACAAAAATATAGAACTACAAATATATTTTTTAATTAGCATTAATAAGACATTTAATTAGCATGCCCTTTTTAAGATGTTCAGTTATTGCAGTGGATTATATAATTAATTATAGTCTTTGCAACCTAAAATGTCTACGTTCAATTTGTTTGGTTTGTTTTAAAACTCGTGTAATAAAAGCCCGATACTAACAAATTATTATTACCTTCGACAAAGATTACACAATCAAGTAGAAAATAAGTTTAAAAGGTTGGTTTATTTATATCCCAGTAATTTGTTGTGTAAAGCAATAAATACAAGTTTTCTTTAGAAGAAATTTAAGACGTATAATCTGACGTTTGGCACACCAGCTTTGGGAGCACAAAAAATATGAACATTTCGCGGCTTATGGGCGTAATTAAAATTAATATTTTTAAAACATTTTCTATTAGATTTTTAGTTTTCGGCAACACTAAGAACGGACAGACGAACTTTTTTTTAAGAAAGTATACAGTATAAATACATTATAAATACAGCAACTATTCTTTTTTCATAAGCGATTATTGATCAATAGAGTCGGTTCCAATTATTTTGAAATGGGAACATCCATAATTGGATAATAATATTCTTAAATTGCGTACGCTTTAGCGCTTGCTGAATTGATTCTGAATTTTGTTCGTGCGTGAATAGCAAACTTGATTTACATTTTTTTTTTAGGAAGTTCCCAACTTGCTGGTACAGTTTCATTGTTTTTATAAACTCTTAGATCGAAACCAAAAAGCTTCGTTTTTCGCATGCTTGAAAAGGGTGAGATGTAATAAATTTGTTATAAAATAATATCATTATCATTTGCTTAATTTTAGGCCGTTGAGAATATGCGGCACAAAAAATATTTCCATTACTAATATGATGCCAGGCGGATTGAAATGCTATTTCCACTTTTGCATATGTCTTGTGCAGCTTCTAAAAATAATACAATTACAAAGCTTAATTGTTGCATTAAACTAAATTAAACTTGCCATTTAAAATTGTGCGTTGAACGCCAAAAAACAATATTTATAAGGAGTCTCTTACATTTTGTTAAATGTAAGAATCGTTTTGAAATGTCTATTTATGTTTTTGAAAGAGGATTCCTTGGGCGAGGGCTGGGACAATTTTTTTTTTGTAACATGAGTGTAATAAATGTAAGAAAATAAAAAAATTTTGAAATAAAATGTTGGATTTACATAAACTGTGGTTTATAGATGATAGTTTTCAAATTTTCGACCAAGTCAATGTTTTTGGTATTGGCCCATATTCGAACTTTAGCACAATAAAGTTTTCCTTTTTGCCAGATTAAACCCAAAAGAAATAAATGAAAGCAATAGAAGACACTTAAAGAACTTAAAAGTCGCTTATATCTCTAAAATGTATGATTTCGCTTCATTCTTTTTCCACCATTCGGTGGCATAGTAAAGATGTTAAACCAAATTTAAAGAGCTTCCCCGAGGAGGTGCAAAGACGCTTAAAGGTCACAACAACCGGCTGCGCACGCAACGAGATCAATATGTCGCCTTCAGCTCCCCCTAACAAGTCTGACCGCTATCCGCCAGATAAACTCGTTTCATGGCGTCGACGCGATCACCCATTGGACCATCGCCATACAAAGGTTATGCAATATCGACTTTTTTCTGTCTGCTTCAACGTGTGAATCAAATTTTTGAAAATGCTGCCTGTCGACCTTGAAATATTAATGAAATTTCGGTGTGACTTTAAATATTAGTATTACTTGAGAAATTCATTTTCGCGGGTGCAATGATTACTTGAATTTTTCTCTTCCTTTATGCGATTCGTGTGATTTCCTGGTATTGTGAGATGAATGTAAGTCGGATAACTCCATCCTATAAATATCGCACGATCACCTCAGCTTCAAAATTGCAATTTCTTCAAACAATTGCAGATTTTGCGAAATATTTGAGACAAAGTTTAGTACGAAATTCATTAAAAATTTACTCTAAAAACCGAAAACATAATATTTATTATCTTAATTTAAGAGATTGATGATTCATAAAATTATTTAAAAGGGTAAAGTTTAATATGTTATAAAATACATTTATATTCACTCTCTTGAATTTTATTGTTTCTATGGTATAACCACAACCAATTTGAATGGGAAAATGTTTTTTTTTTATCAAAATCAAACGTTTTGGCAATAAATCTGCTAAGGGTAAATTGTATTAGTACTAACCCATCGAGCCAAACATGGCAACGCACAATAAAGCACAGATTATTATTTTAGCCATGACAACTGTATTGTTAAATCCTCGGGATTGCTGTGGACACTAAACGTTAAAACTAAAAGAGAGCTCTGGCGATGCTGACCCAACGAGCTGACAATTTCGACTGTTTTGCGCTAGAAACGCAACGCAGATATTAACTGGTGATGTGACAAGCGACAGCGCATCCGAAGCTTAAGCTCTCCAAGATTATGAACACAGCGAGCCGAGCCGTCGCCGGAGCTTGCTGATCATCCTCTACCTGTTGGGGAATCGCATCAGCTTTTGCCGTCGTCTCAGTTGCAATAAAAAAAAACAATAAACGAATAACAAAAAGATATCAGATGGCATAAATTTCAACAAAAAAAGCTTCCTTTCGCTCCATGTGAGTCAGTTCATCATCCAAGCAAGTTCGGCTCTCAGTTTCAGCTAAATATTAATTAACGACGTCTGTATTTAATTTATTTTGAATTTGATTTCCATATTTCGCACTTTTGTTTTCGATGAGAAGCCAACCAAAATTCAAAAGAAACCAGAAAATCCAACTTAAAGTCAAGGCCGACTGCGCCCATGAGGCCGTACCAATCACGAAAATCTGACAATGATCATGGCATTAGGCCGTAACTTAGGTTGTGGGGATTTTTAAGGAACGATAGCTTAAAAAAGTAATGACGAAATATGCTGCAAATGTCAGGTGACTAAAAAACTTGTTGAAGGCAACCGACAAAATGGATTGAAATACCGGCAAAACAATACCGGAATAAATAACACTTGTTTACAAAATCTATTACAATTTTGATGCGGTTGGGTCCTGATTAGGAAAAGTATGTACCTAATATTTTATTAAAGGAACGTTTTATTTTTAAGTTTATCTTCCGATTTTTACCTGTTTTCAGGTCAATCTTATTTTTTATTTCAAATTCTTGTTTCACATCGAAAACTTATTTTATATATAACAAAAATCTCAAAAATCATTTATTTGAAAGCTTTTTCGCATATGCATGGAAAACTTAAAGAAGTCCCGAGGGTCGAGATGAAATCGCTTACCGAACACGAAATAAAAACAAGAAAGGAAAGCTAACTTCGGGCGGAGCCGAAGTTGATATACCCTTGCAGAATATTCTATAAATTATATTCTCCAAAATTATTCAAATGATGCATTCTTAATACTTATAAAAAGTCCCAACTTCCTAACTTTAAAAACACCAATGTTATGTCATTTCCAATCGTTCAGTTAAATGGCAGCTATAGGATATAGTCGGCCGATCCTTATGAAATTTGGTAGGTCGGATTGATTAACCAAATATAAAACCCATAGAAAATCCCAGCTTCCTAACTTTACAAACACCAAAGTTATGGTATTTCCAATCGTTCAGTTAAATGGCAGCTATAGGATATAGTCGGCCGATCTCGGCCGTTCCGACTTATATACTGCGTGCAAAGGAAAGAAGGGTGTGTGCAAAGTTTCAATTCGATAGCTTTAAAACTCAGAGACTAGTCGCGTAGAAACAGACAGACGGACAGACAGACGGACAGACGGACATGGCTATATCAACTCAGGAGGTGATCCTGATCAAGAATATATATACTTTATAGGGTCGGAGATGTCTCCTTCACTGCGTTGCACACTTTTGACCAAAATTATAATACCCTCTGCAAGAATATAACAAGATTTTAAAGAGTTCTCTTTGAAAAGGTTAGGTCATTTTTTAATAGGGGAGTCCAACTGCGCCAAAGAAAGTTTTGTTTAATGAGGATTCTTTCGAATTAATTTTGTTGGTCAGTATCATTAAAATTACCTCGTTCAAAAGCCATTTAGCTATGCTTAAAGAGAATAAAACAGTTTTCTATATTTTTATTTTTCTTTATTTTGTCTGTTTTTGTGTAGCTTTCCTTAGATTTAAGCTAGTAGTCCATGCTCAGCAGATTTGCACTTGACTCTTACAAAAGTTATGTTAAGACATATGAGGCGTTCTTTAAATATGTGTAAGTCCAAATTTTACGATCAAAGACTCCTGATCAAATTAGGTATTGATTCTAATAAAATCATTTAAAAACTAAATTAAAACTATTTTTCGTAAAGTAAAAGGAATTAATAAATTGGCAGGTTTTGAATCATAAGAAGACTCATTTAATTGAAAAAGTTACATCGACTCAAAGTTTTAAAAATGATTCATTTCGATTTATTTTTAGTTTTAATACATTGCCGAAAGGTTTTTATTATATACATACAAAAATACGCTGTATGCGTTCCTATAGCTGTTTTGAACACAAAATGATGCAAATTCACAAGTAAACTCAAAAAATATTCCAGCTGCATGGATTCTTATAAATACTTTATATTTTTTCGTTTTGTCTAAGGCACTTTTACACTTTACATTACATCATACAAATATATCCTTTTATTCAAATCTTTGTATTCTACTTATATTTTTAACTCTGCTCTCAGCTACTTTTTCAACAACTTCCAACAGGTTTGGTGATATTTTAGTCATACCAATTTAGTTAGTCGAACCAATTTTTTGAGCGAATAAGTGTAAGACTTGATCTGATAAATCAAAGTTTATGTACTAAATGTGAAATAATTACAAACACCAATTGTTGTATGTTGTTCCCAAGTCACTTTTAAAATGTACTTTTATTAAATATTCAACAACATACGTAAAATTTGCTGTATTCAGCTAAGTACTAATATTTTGCAACTCTCTAAAAATCGACCACTTAGTTACTATTATTTTTCTTTATTTTGATAAGGCATACGCAACAAAAACCTTCAGCATTTCACTCGGCACCGAATCGTGGATTCGATTTGACAATACCTATTGTTTTTAACATTTATATGTGCACAAGTTTGACTTAATGTTCAACACTAATAAAAAACATATACAAAACTAAAGTTATGTTAAGTTTAATGCATATGGGTCTCTGATCTCTGTTTTCGATCGTTCCCCTGATTTCTTATTAATTAGGTTTAACATCTCCATATCGCTTTACTAGTACAAATATCACGGTTCGCATTTATGCTTTTTGAAATGTAATCTTCAATTGCATTAATTGTTTTCCCTACCAGTGCGGTAAGTAAACAAATCAATTCTCAAGTGTGTTTTCTCGTATAAATTTTAATAGTATTTGTGTTTTGTTGAAACTTGTCTTTAGCCTTTTAATTTTATTTATATTATTACGATTTAACTCTCAAAGTCTATGTAATATGTTCCAATTCAATGATTACTCTATTCAAGTCAAATATTTAACGCTGGAATTGTTTTGGCCCGGTATCGGTCTACTCTACGTTTTGGTCTTTACAGTAAGTCTACAGTGCCCAAGAAAACATTGTTTAATGCAAGTACAGACACACAAAATGGTAAGACTGTTGTTTTTGCTGATTTTAATTAGGAATCTCGCCCTGGTATACAAAAATAATGTTGCTCTCATTTCCTCTCTTGAGTATTTTGAAAATAAAATCCATAAGTAGAAAAACTTCAACTTCAACTCGTAAATGGATGCATATGAAAAATTCAGCTAAAATAACGATAAACTTAAGTTAATGGCCTAAACTAAAAGTATCTGATAATGACTGCCTTTGAGTAATTGAAATCCCCATAACTCAAGCTTCCAGTTGTTGCCAGAGAGCAGGAGAGAGGAAAGGCCCAATAAGTGGTTTCTAGTGTGTTATTATTTACAGAAGTTCATGGAAGTGGATCAATTCTATGCTTAGATGCTTTAACAGTAGTTGATATTAAAGGACCGTCTAGATTATTGGCTGCTATCAGCTTACGAATGGCCTAGTAAATGGAATATTGCATGATTCCTAAAAGCCACATTTAACTACCTTAAACCAGTTTAAGCCATGCTCTCAGGGCTTTGCAGAGTAGGAAAAGAAAACCCAGAACGCGAAAAAATCTTATAGGCCCACATTGCGTTACACGACCTGGCCTATAGCTAAGCCTAACTACGTAATGCTCTATTAGTCCTAGGGCTAAGTCTCTAGCTAATTGTAAAACACACACTCGCAGTGCTCTTCCAAAGCTATAAAGGGAATTGGAATCGGTAAAGTCAACACTACCGATCTATAGCATTGCAAATAGTAATAGTGAAGTGGGTTGTAGTCTTTTCGCCTTTGCCTCCTTCCCGTCCAATCGGGGCTGAGCTCAGCTCGGTTTCAGAATTAGTTACTATATCGCACACCCCTTGCGCATGCCATACATAATCTTCAGTTCAGGATAGATGATCTTTCGAATCAGCTGGTTCGTCTTTCCGGACAGCATGGCCCGTCGATTGTCCTTTTTCAGCACTTTGATGCCTGGTTTGTGCACCAGAAATGCGTTATCCAGTATGTGGAACTCGTAGTCCAGTACGCAAAGCGCATATCCCTAAGGATTATATTTTATTATTAGACAACAATCACCATTTATTGACACAAATCGCTCTAACCTGGGGCATCTTGTCACTTTTTCCCTCCCAGCTGAGCCGCTCATCATAGTGGGGATCCGCATGAGTTCCAATGTAGATAGGTTCCCAATGCACATAGTAACCAGTTCGCTTTCCTGTAACGGAAAAAATAAAGTTATTAATATAAATGAAACATATAGCCTTATATTAATTACCTATGTGAAACACACTAAGTTCGTCTGTCTCGTTAGCGGACATCCACTCCTTGGACTTGGGAACCCCGTGGCAGCTGGCGCAGACACGTTTATGAAAGGGAATGGCTTTGCCTGTGCGCAAGAACTCTTGCAGCTCGGTCTTGTCATGTGGCACCGGAGAGCTCTCCTCCACCTCGAAGATGGCCAGTGGGAACACCCTTTTAATACAAAAATAATATAGTTTAATTAACAATTTGCTTTTATAGTAAAATTTTTTTGAAAATATACCAAAATAATAACAATTTCCTGCTCGGAAATATTTTGCACACCCGAAATGTTTTTTAGTAATGATAGATAAAATAGATAAAAGCATTTCAAAGCATTAATTGGAGATTTGAGAAAAAGATAACTAGCAACATAAAAATTCTTGAATATTTATATTGTGATTTATAAAGTGATCCATTTTTTAAATACATTTTTTAACTAAATTAAAAATTTCTGAAAACAAACTTCAAACAGACTATTAAATGCCGATTTTCGCAAAATAAGGTCTATTATTACAAAATTAGGTTTACTAATGAGGTTTATAACTCACCTGGGTGCTTTGCGTCTCAAGTATTGATCGTTGCGGGCAATCATCTCGAGGAATTTCTTGACAAGACCCGGGTTCGGATACAGCTCGATGTCCGAGGCTAAAATGAAGTGGGTGAGCGCCGAGTCGCGGGCAATATTTCGGCCCACGTTCACCGGATACAGGAGCTTCTTCTGTGCCTTGTACAGGTGACCTGAGCTCACGTTGAAGTACGGAGGTGGGAGTGTGCAGTTGTATCCCGTCTTGAATACCTCGTGCGGCTTGGGTACGGACTTGGGGATATGTTTGGTGCCGAAGTAGATGTGGAAGGTGGTGTATGCGCGCACCAGGTGGCTGCCGGGCAGGCACTCCCGCAGGTACCGGATCGAGTCCAGGGTGGGCTGGAAGTCCGTGCCGGGTGCGTGCATGGCGATGCTCACTGGGGCGTTCCATCGCTCCAACAGCGGCACCAAGTTGTCCAGGAACGTGTAGTCCGCATGCGTCGTATAGGTGATCGACTCGTGGCACTTGATGTCGCCATGCTCCGCCCGCACGTAGTTCTGCAGCACCCAAAAGTCGCCGCGCTGCAACGTCTGCTGGTGATAGTCGTGGTCGAAACAGTTGATCAGGGATCGCACCCGCTCCTCCAGCTCCTTTTCGTCGCCAGTGACTATGTAGCCACCGTCCGACTGGGTGTTGTTCACCTCGGCATTGCCGCCCGCGGCAACACCCCCAGCTCCAATGTTTCCGATCACCTGTCCAGGATCGCCCAATGCAGCTGCCCCGCCACCACTGTCGTTTGCCAACTGCGGAGCACCTGCAATGCCATCCGCCGCCTGTGCTGCTGCTCCTGGAGAGTCTGCATTTGAATTGACCAGTAGCTTTTCCTCCGACTCGAAGATCTCGACCACCTGTTTGGAAGAAAACAAAGAAGTAGTGTCGGAGCTGTTTAAATATTCTCTAAACATCTCTTACGTTCTGGTTCTTGGGCGTGGGCGGCTGTTGTTGCTGCACCTGGGCCGCCGAAATGGCAGACCCTACTTGCATAAGAGACACTGGCTGTTGGTCCTGCAGCAGGAAACTGCCGCCATTGGCGAAGTTGTTGCCGCCCCCGATCATCAACTGACTACCAATGTACAGGATGACGGCGACATTGATCAGAATGCTGCAGCGCAGCAACCAGTTGCGGCGTGTGAACATTTTCTGACCCAAGGGCTCAAAGCGCATGTTGTAGCTGCAAAGATCATAAAAAAAATTGTACATTATTACGCATTAAAAACCAGCGGACACTATAATCATCTATATCTAGAAATGGTTTTGCCACAGCAACTCTTAGAATTACTCTTTTTAATCATTTTGAAACAGCGCTCTCCATGCGGAATGTTAAGTACAAGTTCCGGTAGATGGCGCAAAAAAAAAATTGAAGGGGTATTCTTGATCTCCTCAAAATAAAAATCGATATTTTTATAATTATAATTTCAGGTGAAATTTTGCAAACAAAATTAAGACATCTCTGACCCTATAAGGTAAATATATTCTCGATAAGCATCACCAAAAGAGTCGATCTAGACATGTCCGTCTGTGCGTTTCTACACAAAGTAGAAATCGGGAAAAAGGGAAACAAAGAAACTTATTTTTTTCTTAACAAATACAGTAATACTTTTGAACGATTTTAGATGCTGAAAGTTGTTTCTTAATTTAAGGGCGAAATCTCTTTATCTTACAGAACAAGAAAAATCGCATACAATTTTACAAATCATGTCAATTAATTATTTACAAAAAGCACTATTAGTTAATCAAAGTACACTAGACATTCACAACAGGGTTTAACAAGACTTAAATGTTTTCCAATATTTTCCTTTATTTAAAATAAATAAATCCCCGTGTTAGTTTTATTTTATTAAAAAATTATTTGTACGAAAATAGTTTTTGTATTAAGCCAACCACTTTATATTAATCTTCTTCAACTTATAGTAAGTATATTTTTGCCTTGCCTTTTGTTAAACTCCATGTCGGAGCAAAAAGACCGACGCCTCGGACTCTTCGGAATAAACTACTAGATTCCTTGGCTAATTGGTAGAATTTTCTCTAGAGATCGCAACGTAACAACATACTTCCCTTTCTTGTAGCGTACTGTTTGTACTCGTTATCATCTGCCTAAGATTACTTATCATACAGCGTAGTTAACTAAACAAAATGTCGCACAGGAAGTGCTTACGTAGGTTGCAGTTTGTCAAGAACTCTGCTCTGTTTTCCACTTTTAGAAGATGCGGGTGTGGCATTGTTTGCAAATGTAATTCAAAAATAATTTATGTTTGCATGCACACAAAAAAAATGCGGCTAATATAATTTAAAATGCATATGTAGCATTATAAAATCCACTTTTAAATACCATTTTTTAATTTTTGTTAAATTATTGCCACTGGTGTAATCCACACTTTTCTTACTTTCTGTGGTACTGAATCAAGATTCAGTCGCAAACTAGTTTTTCAATTTTAAAAATAATTAAATAAAGCTTTTCCAAGTATTGCAAAAAGGGCACAGAAAAAAATTCTTGGTTGAATTGAAATTTATATTTTCGAAAAACTGGTTATATAAATTCTAATTACCATCAACTTGTTAAGGGGGTATATACATTTTTTTTGTCGAAAAAAATAGGAAAGTTTTGATTTTTTATGTATGTAACTATAATTTTTATTAAATGAATGATTATATTTTCTGAAAGTTTAGATTGTTGACAATGTTTATGCAAAAAATTTTGAAAAAATATTTAATAGTTTTTAAGGTGTGGCTGTTTCCCTTAAAAGCCTTTTTTAAAGAGCCTTGCGGTGATAATTCCCCAGGTCGAATGGGTCAACTGATACCGAAAAAATAAAAATATTTCATTAGTTTAAAGTAGTATCCTGTACTTGAACGAACGTTTTAAAATTTTTTTTTTTTTTTTGTGCAACGTTTTTATACGCTAAAATTCTTACAAAACTATCTATTTCTGCGAAATAAAAATTTTTACATGAAAAACGATCGCCAAAGTACTAATAAAATTCATTACGAACATTTAAAAAAAATTTGAAGAAAATCGGTTCAGTAGTTTTTCGCCAATCCATATCACCGCAAAGTCATTTTTCAAAAAACACCATTTCGAGATATTCGCGTTTAAAGTTTCAAGTTTGGGTTTGGGCGGGGACGAGGCGCTGTAACTTTTTTTCTACTGCTCAAATCTCTATGAAAATTTTGTTAAATTTGGAAACTTTCCCAAAAGTTGTCTTTCTATTGCAGGTAGTATATAAGTGGGAACGTGCCGGATCGGGCGACTTTATTTTAAAGCTCCCATAGGAACAATCAATTTGTAATAAATATTATTAAAATATTTTTCTTTCAATGTTTGTTTCTTATTATTTCCAATTTCATTTGTAACCTTAAATTGTTTAATGGGCCCAGGTAAAATGACAATTTATGTATATGCCTTTTTGGAGAAACACCCAAAAGCATATATCCTTCCTTGAAAACGACACGCTTAAAATTTGTTGTTATGTCCATATAATGGACTCAAATGGGTAAATGGTAATATTTGTATACCCTTGCAGAGGGTATTATAATTTCAGTCAAAAGTTTGCAACGCTGTGAAGGAGACATTTCTGACCCTATAAGCTATATATATTCTTGATCAGCATCACCAGGAGAGTCGATCTAGCCATGTCCGTCTGTCCGTTTCTACGCAAACTAGTCCCTCAGTTATAAAGCTATCTGCTTGAAACTTTCCCAAAAGTTGTCTTTTTATTGCAGGTAGTATATAAGTCGGAACGAGCCGTATCGGCCGACTATATCCTATATAACTGAACGATCGAAAGGCCATCACTTTGGTGTTTGTAAAGTTAGGAAGTTGGGATTTTCTGTGGGTTTTAGTTTTGGCCAATTAATCCGACCTACCAATTTCATAAGGATCGCAAGATTGTATCCTATAGCTGCCATATAACTGAACGATTGAAAATGCCATACCTTTGGTGTTTTTAAAGTTAGGAAGTTCGGATTTCTTGTGAGAATTATATTATAGAATATAATTTACAGAATATTTTGCAAGGGTATATCAACTTCGGCTTTGCCCGAAGTTAGCTTTCCTTTCTTGTTATCATTGCGTCATTTAAAATTTGTTTACAAAATCGATTTTCTTATATTGTACATATCGAAAGCTTAAGTTGAATCATGCAAAAACGATACTTTATTTTCAAGTGGACGCCATTTTATTTCCATAACGAATTTTTTCACGTTTTTTAGGTTGGGGCGCCTCTACGGAATGGTATCATTAGTATTCACTTGGTTTTCTGCTTGTAGACAACGAACTGCGACCTGCACCGTGCCCGCAGATGAGGTCGGTTTCCAGAACACTTTTTGCGGGAGCCGCCATTTTGGACGCGCATTTGGACACCCGACACTCAAAAATTTTGATTTTATATGTGAAACCAGAATAAACATTTTGTAAAATAGCGCACATGTCGAAGTCAGTTTACTTCTTTAAAAAAATATATAAAATATTAGGTACTTATTGCACTATTATATAAGAGAACCCCCTTAATACACAATACACATTAAAACTAACTAAAATTTCGGTGCTTTAAAGCATTTCCAACATTCTTTATCCACTTAAAAAAATATGGTTTTAAATGACGATCGATCTTAGGTTATTCCAATTCGTTTATTAACGAATGTGTAATTTTAATTGGGATAGCTTAAGATCGATCGTTTAAAAGAATTTTTTTCTATGTGTATAAAGAATGTTCGCACAACAACGAGGTGAGCCACCACTGGTTTTGTAATAAATTGGAGATTCGCTCCCGGAATTAATTGTTCGGGAGTGCAACGACTTTTAGCAGTTGAACGGAGAATATCATTAACATTAGTCAGCGAAGAGACCGCTAATAAATGTAAAATTATATATGAAGCAGAGATTAAATATAAATGATCATAAAAAAAGAAATAAAAACCATTTCCGACCAATTAATGTAAATTTAGAGCAATGCAAAAAGATGCCATACAATTGTTAAGCGGCAATATAATTTGTGGACCAGTTACTAGTTATATAAACATCATACGACAATTCGATTGTGTAGAAATGAACGGAAGGTGAGTCAGTCGACTGTTGATTTTGATTAAAAATTTTAATCTCTTTGCGGCAGGAAACTTTTGACTTAAATTATAATACTCTTTGCAAGGGTATACAAATATAATTCTCAAAGTATTCTTTAAATTTTTTTGAAGGTTATTTCTGAAGCAAAAATTAGACGCCATGTGCGTTGAGCATTTAAATGCAAATCAATCGTGGCTTCTGGACAAGCCAGACACATTCATTAGCAGGGGGTCCACACGAGCTCCGAAATGTAAAACTATTAAAGAAACTGTATGGCCCGTGTTTGAGTTCATTGCACCATTGACAAGGTGGATGGAAGGCGCACGAGTGGGTACCTAAAGTGCCACCGGTTTTGTGTGTTTCTAGGCCATTGTCGGATGATGAATTTGCATAGCAGTCGGCCGATTCGATCCGAACTCTACGCACACAGGAACCAGGCCCAGATCTACAGTCTAACCAACAGCCGAAAAAATCAACAACACCATAACAATCTGCGGTCTGGCCGGCGGGCATTCCCGCTTCGCAATTTGGAATCATAATTGTGTCTACGAGCAGTCTTCGATGGCCATATTTTTATGACTTTTATCGGTTCTTTTTCTATATACCTTCATAATTTTTTGCTGTTCTATGTTAATGGATTTACTGGTTACGGTGTGTGTGACTTGTTCTGCTATAGTGATGATGCAAAACAATACATTTTTTTTTTACAAAATTTGGAACGAAACGTGAGAATTGTTATGAGTTTTCAATTCGCCAACCGAAGCTCTACCTCAAAAAGTGAACATGAGAGCGACACACGTTTGGTTTTTTACAATGATCATATATAACACAGCAATGAGTGTGGGTTTGCTGAATATCAGGTACTCTTAGAGTTCAAGGGTATTTTACAGGCAGTTAACAGCGTTTCCGACACTATAATTTTCTTATTTTGTTTGAAATTGGTTTGAATTGGTGCGTGCGCCAGAAAAAGAGTTTTACCATTCCTGTTCTAAGCATAAGTGCTGTCACATTCCTATCAGGAGAGATTTGAAAAAAAAAATATACAGAACAGAAAAAGGAACTAACTTTAATGAGTTTAGCTGGGTTCACACTGGGTTCACGAGTGCATACGA